GAACCAGGCTGCGGTGGGACGGGGAAGGCAGAGGGTGCCGTGGGGGTAAGCAAGGGCAGCTGGAGACGGGGTGGCAAAGCCAATGAGACATGTTATCTGCACCTCAAAGCCTGAACAAGAGACCTATTCGAGCTGTGCATCCATAACAGACCAAAATCCAGCCTTGAAAAAACACCCCCTGACCCAGCCTGTGCCTGCAGGTCCTGGCACGGCCATCCCCAGGAGCATCGCCAGGCTCCTCGTCCACATTCAAGGAGACAAACGGGGCTGTCAGATCCTTAATCCCATCGTTAGGAAGACCACTGTCACAAACCTCGCTCGCCAACGTCATGGTCACCCCTGCCCCACCAGCCCCACATCCCAAACCACGGCGCCCAGCCACCCGCAGCGCGGTGGGGACCAGCACCTCACCTGACATTAAAACTCACATACGACCAAGTCACCTTTGCCTAGTCTTGTAGAATTGCTCTCCCTTAGCCCATATGTTTGTTCTCCCATCCCGGGATCCATACCAAGTGTATTAACTAAGCGTAACAAAATTCTCCTCAAGCCCTCATTTCGTTAGGTTAAACAAAGCAATCTCTCTCAGACGTGTTCTTTATTCTCCTAATCATCATGGTAGCCCTCCCTCGGTGGCCGAGGTCCTTTTGAACTCTCTCTTCTGGCCTCTGTCTCCCCGGACTCACAAACGAGACGCCGGATTTTGCCCCTTCCCCACCCAGTGCAAGAACATCATTACCATGTCCTGACACGCAGAGAGAACGGGAGGCTTTGGGCTGTGACCTGTCACTCTGCCCCGCGGCAAAATTAATTCTCAAGGACATTAGTAAACACGTCTTAATATTTTTGCAAATTGAAAGGAAAACACAGCTTGAAGGATGCAATTTAAACTTTGGTAGAATAAATGTCAGATTAGAAATGGCAGAAATTGCAACCTTTTGCTAGAAAAATTATGAGCAATATAATGTGGTAAGAGGTATTTAATTTTTTTACTGTACTGTGGCAAACATCTGATGTTTAAATCATCTGTAGTTCATGACTTTGCAGATCAAGCATCTGGCACTGAGGTAGATTGGGTTGATTACAAAGTCTGACCTTCTAAACTTTTAATTAATTACTTCATAATTCTCACTTCTTTTTAATAAGGTCACTGAAATAAAGTTAACTGGATTATCTTCTTCTCTTTCATGTGATTTTTCTTTCACTGATGTAAACACGGGCTAAAGACACATTAGACTTTCTTCTTTTTTATTAACTATCTTGATTAATTTTCTTGATTATCTTGGTACAGAAAGGTGTAACTATGTAATAACTAGCAGTGATTGAGACTTGACTTGGCGGTCTCGCTAAGGCGTTGAGCAGGGATTTGGGAGACTGAAACTCAACTTCGAGCTTTGCCAGAGATTCCCGACGGACTTTGCCCGAGCCCCACCAGGTCCCCGTGTCCATGCGTGGGACAGCGATGGAGAGGCTGCTGCTTCCCTTTAGCCTTGGTTATTTACTGACCTTGTTACCCTGCCGTGTTTTACTCATGGAAATTAAAGCATCTTTAGCCCATTAAAATGTATTTATTCTCTGAAACACTTACATGAATATGTTCAGAAAATGTCAACCCAAAGAGCAGAGCAGAGGATATTCAAAATGACAGCTACCAGCTCTGTGTGTATAGAAAGATCTCATATACACCAAAAAAAAAAAAAAAAAAAAAACAAACAAAAAAAAAACCAAAAAAAGAGTGAGACTTGGATTTACATGGCTTTTAAAGTGGAGTTTGGATTTACATGGCTTTTAAAGTGGAGTTTCACAGCAAATAATTTTGCAATCTGGAGTTTGAACCTATTTGAGAGCTTATGAACAGACATAAGACTTTGTTCATTTAATTTGTGACACAACGCACACCCCCCTGGCTCTTCCCGCTCTGCTGTTTTCAGCAGGAGAATGTCTTCTTTCAATGCTACCCGACAGAATATAGCCCGTAGGGCAGAGGAATTTTAAAGGGCTAGGACTTTGCTTTTAAATTTTCTTTTTCTCCTGTTATTTCATGTGCTGCTCTAGGTCTGCCGCTGATCATTTATTCACAACGCAAAAGGAAACCCAGCCCTTTGACTGCATGATTTTACTTTGGCAAAAGGCCTGCTTTTCCCTTCATTTATTTCTTCCCAATAGCAGAAGTTGTTTCTAATCTTGAAATACAATGCCGTGAGCGATATTAAAAGGAAACATAAAACTGCTTCCATAAAATGTTATTATATCATGCCTGCGAACGCTATTCAGCAGGAAAGGATGTATAAGCTTATAGCACCAATTAGCTCTTTGATATTTCCTTTACAGTTTTGGTTACTTTCAGACAGGTCAATCTCCATCTCAAAGGATGCATGAGGCTTGCATCCTTACCCCCTGCGCCTCGGCACACGGAGGGTGAAGCGTTGGCTTTATTAGCAGCGTGAGCATGAAGCGACCTGATTAAAAGTGCTCGCACACACAGGTCCCATTCAGGTCCACGGGAGAGAGAGCGACAGTGGTAAGTGTGATGCGGGCGTCTCTCAATCACCGTGCAAAACCCAGCGCTGATTCAAGGTGGGATCCCACCCGCGTGGGGTGAGCGAGTGGCGTGGCTCACCTCCCATCCACTGAGCATCCACTGCACAGCCGATCGTTATCCACACCTGTGGTAACATGTACATAAAGGCATGAGCTGGAAGGGAAAGGAACGACCACGGTCATCACCGAGATGGGATGGAGCATCCTTCAGCTTCCGATCCCGCTCTGCCGCTCAGTGGGTGCAGGACCCCTCTCCCCAGGCAGGGAGCTCAGCGCCTTTCCCTTCTCACTAAGTGCTAAGAGAACTACACAGGAAAAAATGCATGGGCAGTGATTTTTTTCTAACTTTACCTAGAAAATGGCTCACTTGCTCCGGCTATGCTTCATGGGGCTGCTCCCCACTTCCTACTTAAAATATCACTGAAATAATACTGGAGTAACTGAACACGTATGCACAATTGAAATAATAATTGATACTGTCACAGCATCTTCATTCCAGCTTCCCAATCCCATCGCACACAAATCCTCCTGCAGTCCCTGAACAGCCCCCCCAGGTAAACAGTACGCTTCCAGGCCTTCATGCAACAGCCGCCTTCCCAGGAAGGTTCTAAAAATGGCTAAGAGATGATTCTGTGGCTGTACTAATAAAATAATGTTCTTTATGCAACAAATACACTTAGCTCTTACAAAGCAACAGTTTAACATTCTTACAAACCATTGGGGTCTAAAGGTTCAGTGGTTAAGAATAATTAGTTTGAGAAGTATTTCATACACGTTATTTGTAAGGGATTTTGGCGTGCCATATGGATTAATAGAGAGTGCCATTTAAATTCTTCTGGTTTATATTCATTGCTTTATTACTCATAAAAATGCAAAAGAAAATGTTAATGATGATTACACCAAAGACTAATAAGTTAAAGCCTTAGGTTATACTTTGTATTTCTGAAGATATAAATGCAATCGCTTAATAATTATGCATATTTTTAACTATTGAGTTATTATTTCTTTGTATGCTTGTAGTTAGCCTAATTAATTTTAAGCTCCTGTTTATATGTTTTATACATGCAATTAATTTCCAACTTTTTCTTTGGCCATTGCATGTGGGTATTAACTATTGCAAAGACAACCAAAACTAGGAATTGTTCACCCAGGAACAATACAATAAATATTACCTCCACGCGTGTCAAATTGACACTGTTGTTCTGCAGCGCTTCTAGCAGAAAACTGTCTCATGGAAATAAATGGACTGTTCTTATTATCGATATTGGGATCTTAGTATTTCTGTGAGAAACCTGGTCTGGAAGAATCAAAAACTGTGGATTCTAATGCAAAATCAGCTTATCTTGTCTCCCTTGTTTGTTTTGGTTTTAATGAATTTATATTAAATTTCCAAAACTGACAGAATTTTTATTTTTGAAAAATTGCTTTACATGTTTTAGCTTTGTTTTTTTTGTTTTTTTTTTTTTTGTTTGTTTTTTTTTTTTTGTTTGTTTGTTTGTTTTTGGTTTTTTTTTGTTTTTTTTTGTTTTTTTTTTTTTAAATTTTGATTTAATTCTTCTTTTTATAATGATGCTTGTGATGGCACACAAGAGAAGACACTTGAGGTGCTCAAGCTGAGCGGTTCTGCACTGCATTTCCGCACGTTCTGCCCGTGAGGAGCCGCCTCGGAAGGAGCCCACAGACCGATTCATTTTCCTCCCTTAAAACTCTCACCGACACAACCCTGCGGGAAAGCGGGACCGGGGCTGGTGGGGACCCAGCTGCAAGCTCTGCGTGGCTGATTGCGCTCTGCCCCCTGTCCCGCCGCGTCCGTCGGCCGCCTTTTATCTGATACTTTTATTACACCATCATCAAAGCACATCTCATGGCTTTGTTCTGTCCCCAAGGACGGCTGGGTCCTGATCCCCCGTGACCCCCCCCGGTGTGCTGCAGTAGCGGCACTGGCTGCTTCTGAGCACATCTTGACTTCGGAAAGGAAACGAGTGTATTTCTGGCAATATTTGGTACCAGCGTTAAAATGCAAAGGCTGCGAACTGTCTGTGAACTCAGCACCTGAGTATGCCCCTGCAGGTGCTGACCAGGCGGGATGCCATGCAAAACCACCAAGTTTTGAGCTGTGCAGAAGACCCTCATCAAACTGACAGATACCTGCGCAGTACCACAGCAGGGAATCATACCTGGACTACTGCACTGGTATTTTCCTCTTATATTTTAACATCTCATTCAATTGCCAGCAGAGTAGGAGTGAGGATTTAAACCTGATTTTGGCAAGTGAGACCCTTCTAGGCTACTTATCTATTTGTGGGGGCCCAGAGTCAATGGCATGTACAGTCTATGGCTACACACATCCAAGAAAAATGAAAGAAAGAAAGAGAAAAAAAGTGCTTAGCTGATTTTTCCCATATATAAACACAGATTTTTCTAGTACATCTCCAGTAACAGTTGGTTTAAACACATACCTTGTACAGTTAAGTGCACCTGCATCGTTCTAGGAGTGTGCTGAGTTTGCACAGAACAAGTGTATGGACCGTCATCTGTCACGTCTACATCCTGTATCTGCAGGCTGTATTCTCTTCTATTTGCTGTTGCGATTGAGACCCGAGGATCTACTGACCACTTATCACTTCCAGCAAAAATAATACTCGACCGATTCAGCCAGGCACCTTTTGAAGCTCCATCTTCCAAGTAACACCTGGGAAAGAAGGTGAAACTGTAAGTATGAAAATGTAGGAGCTTTTAAACACCATGAACTTGCTATTGATTTTAGACAGCTGCACTATATTAGGCTTGAACCTCAAAACATGAGTCAATTGTTAATTCACAAATCACCATAAAACCAAAAGCCTATCTTAAAAAAAACACAGTAAACATGTTTTTTCTGTTAGAGTCTTCCTCTCTGATTTTCCTGCTGTGCGTGGTCAGTGGAGCAGCAGGTAGGAAGTCTCAGCTGTTTCCAAACTGGACTCAATGACTATCAGAGCAGCCCTTTCTGCTCCCGTTTCAGCCCATCAGGATCAGGAGTTGGCGTGTGTGCCTGTGCAAAATTACTGCCCTTTTCCTAAGCCACAACAAACGTCTGCTTCCTTAGTTAAGGAGCCAAGAGACTTTTCCATCAAAAACTATTATGGCATCTTAGTATCCAAAACAGTATTTTTTTCTTTTCAAAAGGTTATTAGATTTGTCATTGTTAATCTTATATTCAAGACATCTTGTTTAAAGCAAACATATATTCAATTAGCATGGATTTCCCTGCTGACGTCAATAATGAAATATAAAGCATACTCCTACTAAATATTTTTAAGAATGTCTTTGGTATGGCAGTGACTCAAACGAATGCGATTTGTTTATGATGCCATACTTTAGCTTTTTTTCAGTTATTATTAGAACAACAACCAAAAATATTGCTCTTTGGGGTATAATAGTCACCTTCATTGCTCAGTGAAAAACAACACCCCTGCAATCTGAAGCAGATGCACCCCAGACATATTCCTTTCTTTCCAAGTTTTAGTTCAAAAATATTCCTCCATAAAGTGAAGACTTTGGTTTTTTTTTTTTGAAATGAGTAAAAAGTACAGCTGGAGAATGAAAACACGTATATCTGAAGAGTTTGACAGCATTTCTACACAATATCTTGGGGGTTTGAACACAGCACCGGAGATTGCGAGGGAATTGCGAGTGGAACACATGGGTGTAGGTACTGCAACTGTCTGAAACTAATCACTTGAGAAATATAAAGAACAAGGTATATTGCAAAATCTAATTTGTAGTCCGTTTCACCATCTGTAGATTCAAAAACCAGTCGGAGTATTAAAGGTCAATGTTAATTGAAAATCTTTTCGTAGATGTGCAACCAAAAAAAAATCCACCCAGGCGTAACAGAAGCATAACCTTCTCCTAAGGTAATTAGGCACCGCAATATGCTGCTGTTGTCAATATTTTGTATTGCATACTAGGAAACATTTGTAATTTCTCTCTAAAACAGCTTTCCATCTTAAATTGCTCACTTGCACACTGGGATGAGAACCGCACTGTGATGGAAACTATTAAATGACACTGACAAGTCCTAAGAATAGCACGGCGTCAAGAGCAATTCCTGAAACTGTGGAAAAAGCGTTAAGCTGGTGAATACTTTTGACAGCACTTCTTAGCACGATGAAGTAAATCTGAAGGAAAGCAGATGTTTGCCAGGGCAGGATCCCTGCAGAGGTGAGCCTGGGGTGGGCAGAGCCGGGGCCAGGGGGCACGGGGTGATGCCGGAGGAGGCAAAGCAGCACCAGCATTGGCAGAGCCAAAAGAGCACGTGGGCTGGAAGGACAAAACCCGTCCCCAGAGACTCCCTGATTTTGAATGCAACCGATGGCTTTGGAGTAGCCATCAAACTTTTTCTGTCATCCGGAAAGGGGGGAGTGACACTGGTGACAGGCGGGAGAGCAGGAGGCGGAAGGGACACTGAAGGCCACCCCTCAATCCCCCGGGGTTACAACTGTGCTCAAGTGACGCACAGCCGGCGCAGCCTGTGTTCTGCTCCGTGGCGTTTGGGAGAGGAGCATGGCATGACAGCCCAGAGGTGCTCTCCTGAACTTCAGCCAGAGCGATGATTTTTGTTAGCAGCCAGGAAAACACGCGAAAGAGCAACAGGTTTGGAAAGAAAACAAAATGGCGGGAAGAAAACCAGTAAACACCAGCAGAAAACCAGTAAACACCAGCAGAGCACAGGACTGTGTGAAGTATGAGAATACAGTGAGAATACAAAACTGGAGATACTTCAAATACTACTTTGCCATAGAGAAGGAAATATTTGTCATAAAAAAGAGGACTGGAGACAAGAGATGAGACCTGGGCTGAAGAAGACGGTGATAGCTTGGGTAGAGAGAATGGGAAAAAAGGGCTGGGAAAGGGTGTCCAGGAGGAATGGCCAGCAAGGAGAGTCCCTCTCAGTGGCCGAGAAGTGAGAGGATGATAGAACAGAGAGAGCATGCAGAAGGAGCTTTATTTCTACGAGCAGATAAAAAGCCTGAGCCTGCCTTGGGTGAGGTTAAGGATATTTAACCATGGCTCAAGAACTAAATGAGCGTTACACTCCAGTTTTCCATAAAGACGGTGACATCCAGCATGCAGGAAAAGGCAGAGCAGCTAATGGAGACAAGGGCAGAGAAAAACCTTAATGGAGTCATGTCTGAGAGCATGAAATGGCAAATCCAGGAGCATGTGGGTCTTTTTTTAAAACAAACGGAATGTGATGCTATGTGACTGGGAAATCAGAGATGTATTATCTACATTTAAGGAAACGCAGAGAGTGAATCAGGCAAATTTTAGACTAACCACCATGCCCACAATAGAATTTAAGGCTTCAAAACAACTTTAAAACTTAAAGGAAGATAATACAAAGTGCAACAGACTAATGGGACATTTTTATTTGATAAAGCGTTTTTTTACATGAAGAAAATCCAACAGAAGAAGAGAAAGCAATAGATCTAATCTCTTTGATAAAACATTAAAATAGCACAACTGTGGAAACTGTTAGGTGGGAGAAAATGGTGATTTCGTAGCTTGAGCATATGGCGGTATTGTTTAAGGGGGAAAATGACATTCCCTTTAGGAATAAGAAACTAGCAGCATCAGGCTGAAATTCTTCAGAAATGGATCATGAATATAACCATCCATTTAATTAATGGTCTCAACATGAAATCTGAAAGAGTTCTGAGAGAAGCTGCATATCATATGGGATAAAAAATCACAGTTTATATAGCAGAGAATTGGGATGTCACGGGGAAGCATCACTTTGAGGACAGAGAGCGCAGCTGACGTCTGTGAATCCCTGCAGGAGGAGTTTTGTGGGGCCTGGTCCCATTCGGAGAAGACAAGGAGCTGCTTTTAAAGTCTCATGAACATTTTCAAAATGATTCTAATGAACAGAAGACTGGGGAGAAGCAGAGAAACCTCAGATTCACTGACGTTTTTCTACAATGTGTTTCTTTTCTACTGTTATTTCTGCAGCAGTTGGACACAGTCAGTTATAAATTAATACTTTTGAAGGTAGCCTGTAGTTTCAGTGACCATTTATCATTCTACTTAACTCCCTCATTGTTTAAACACACACATACACACACATGTCCAAAAACATGTAAGAAAGCGTTAGCACTACGGCTTCTTCCCAGCCTCCTCCTCACCCAGCACACAAGACTAGCCTCGAATTCCCTGCTGTCTGTGCAGCTTGTAAGAAAAAAATTAGCCTTGTTTGAAAAAAAAAGAAAGAGATAATAAAAGCTGACATTTTTGGCTATTAATTAAAGACAAAAGTGGAATTCTCATCGGACGCAAAGCGATCCACATGAAAGCCACGCTGAGAAGGGCAGTGCTCAGGGATGCAGCTCCAAAGCATCCTCACAACCTCCTCACAGCACCTGCTCCGAAAGCCCCAAAGGTTCCCGAAAACTTCTCATGTAAACACAACCCTTTTGATATCAAAGCTTTCCCGCTGAGAAAAGGCGAGATACAGCACTGCAGAGAGGAACATGAGACCTCTTGTTGTTTTATTTGATATATAAAGGTATTTTCTCAAAATAACTTTCTAAAACAAATAAGAAATTTTGCTTTATTAATTTGTAGGTGCATGGTTATCATGGATAGAGATGAAAACCTGCCAAACCCAACTTTCTTCTATACCCCACTAATTAACAAAAAGTATGCAGTATAGAATTGCTGTAGAAAACATGAAAACCAAGGACTAAAAATGGAACAGATGATTAGTTGTTGAGAAGGATTTACAAGTTTGATGAAAAAGGTATTTCTAAAAATCTAACTAGGAAAAAACATTTCAGTCTTGTTCAGACCCTGATGAAGCAGGTTGTGTTGTGGAAGCACATCAGCTTCAAACTAAAAAATGATATTCCAAATAAGGTTCTTTGAAAACAGGTTAAATATTTTACCTCAGACAGGTTCCTTCAATAGCCCAAAGCAGTCTTTTCTCTATATTTACTCAAAACCTATGCAAGTTCCCTAACACTGTGCAAGTGAACTGATTTGAAAATGTTGCAGAATTTGGCTGAAATACTCTGCACAGCATAGCCTTCAAATTAAATAGCAGCCAAGATGCTGTATTTTCCCACTACGCACACAAGATGCAATGGCTAAAGTTCATATTTACTCCACAGAAGAAGCAATCAAATGATTCATCTCAGAAATGTTTTCAAATCTAACAAATTGAATCCCTTTCTGTTTGCAAATCACTTCTCACTTCTGAAAATGCAGTTATTGCTTAAAAGTATTTGACAGGCGACTTGGACAACAGATTCACCCCCGTGTGTGGCTGACCATTGGAGGCAACGCTTCTGCACTCTAGTTATTGCAGAGGAACAGAAATAAGGACAAATAAGGCTTTTTTCTCCTTTAAACAAAGGCTTGTTTTGTTTTGTTTTGTTTTTTCCCCATACGTTTATAATCTTCTATGAAAGAGCAGTTTTTTCACATGTTTTGCGTCACTTAACCAACCAATTCTGTATGGATGAACATTTGCAAGGAGTAAACGCTGAGAACAACAAAATTACTGACCCGAAGCGAGCCCATGGGATCCGACCCAGTGCACGTGGACTCAGACTGCAATACCGCAGACGACCCGGCACACAACCTCTGCATTCACCCCTACAATTGCATTTCTCACATCCTTGATCTCTGGATGCTCTTCTTCATTTT